TATATATATATATATATATATATATATATATATATATATATATATATATATATATATATATAAAAGATTAATCTTTTTTATAATTAATAAAGGATATACCCAAACTATAAGCTTAGTTTTTATTTTTATTTTTCATACATAACAACTTAAACAAACATTAACCTTAGCCAAACATCAAGTTTTTCCAATGTAGCCTACTATCCTTTATCATTTTGAAAGGTTGTGGTGTGCATTATCTAAATCACCCAAATCTATGAACCGAACGTCCGTTCAGTTGAAATAAAGACATGAGAGCATTAAATACTGCAGTTGGCAGCAATCAGCATACACACAACGTACCCTTCTTGGCTTCTTCATTTCACGTGTCCATGCTCCATCCTCACATTCGTAACTTCAATGCGTTTTCTTCTCCACTTATCGTCTCACTCTCATCATATATACCTAATAAACATATATTATTTATGTTTTTAAACATCAAACTTTCTGTTTACTTTTATGATATGCTAGTAGTGGTTGAAGATGCCCTGAAACATTATTATATATACAGAGTACGTGGACAATTATTAACCTATGCCAAGTGCAATAAATAAATATGTCCTACTTTGTAACAAAAAGTAGCTATCATATTGACGTGCACATAGAATATATACATCTTTACAGGATTCCATGTTACATGTCCTTATTTCATTTAAATTATTGATGTAAAATCTTTACTGTTTACATTTCACCAAATTTTGATAAAACAATCATTACAGTTTTTTTGAAATGGATCTTGAATTACAGTAAAAAAAAAATTTCAAGAGTGGGGCCCATGCTCTCAAGAGCCCAATATACGAAATGAAGGTGGCCATTGCTTTGGCCTTAGTAGGTATGTATATGATCACACCCTTTCACCCATCCTCCCCCACCTGTCAAATTCAATAAATACCAATTTTTTCACTCATTTCCGGATGACTGAATGCCCAACACCGTCGAGCGCCACCACAACTTCCTCTGTCAACTCAATTTCCAACCTTATCTTCACGGCGTAATCATCGGCTGCCTCAACTAATCGGAAGCATAACTTACGGAAGTATGTAAGTCTCTCTTTGGTCCTATCTGCGTAATATACGTGCTGATTTTAATTTGATTTGAGCTTTATTGTCGATTGATTCTGGCTTTGAACCTCGAACCTTTATCTGATTTTAGAACAGATTTCTCACACCTTCATGTTTAACAAATCGATGCTATTAATCGTCTACATCACTCGAATGCTATGTTATTGAGAGGTAGCATTATCACTATTTTATTAGATTATAATGATTGCTAGTTTTCGAACCTGCTCGTTTGTCGATTCGACGTTCTTCACCTTCTAAATCACTCGAACTATGTGTTCATTTTCACACCTGCACCTTTAACGAGTCGACGTTCTTCACCGTTTAGCAAACACATATGATGTGTGCGTGTATTGCGAACAGAACATTCGCAGTTTATGTGATGATAATCGATAAGTCGATAACACTGTTTATTGAGTTTGAGACTGAATTCGGAAGTTCGATGACTTGTACCTTGTGGCGTTGTACTCGTGTACAACCAAAGTTGCATAGAGTACAAGCACTGATGTGCTTCTTGTTCCCTAGTTTAACTTTTGTGGAAATCGGTATTCTGTGTGTGTGGTTTTTGATTTCTGAAACAGAGAAAACAAAGATGATGACTAGAAGGTGGTTTACAACTGCACTAAACACGTGCACTTGCCCTGTATGACAATCCAGCTTAAAAGTTTAGCACGTGTCAATTTTTTGCATAAATAAAAACTGCTTCCGGGATATGTTTTATTTTTAAACTATATTCTTGATTAAAAAATTTGCTATCTGTGGTGACAAAATCTTATTGAATTTATTTTTGTAAGGAATTTTGTCTTTGTCATACAAGGTATATCTGAATTTGACAGTTCAATGTTTGATCGCTAAAATAATATATAATAGGCGACTTTTTTTTATTTTAATTATTGTAAAACCTGAATTGTGTGAATAATTAA